CATGGGTTTTATCAAACCCTCTTGCCATTTGGACACTGGTATTTATCAGTGTCAGTGAACTTGAACAGATTGGTGGAGTATGCAGCCATACAGAGCACAGTAACACTGTAGCCATACAGAACACAGTAACACTTGAATTCATCATCCATGAGGCACAAAAATTAAATCCTTGTTTACATAAATTGTCACTAATGCTTATTTAAGCCTCTCAGCATTTAAAAGAAACTTCAAAAGATGCATTCAGAACCAGTTGATCGGCATACTAACCATTCCCCGGATCAAATATGGTGCCACCCACTTGAAAGCTTGTCGAGATTTACGCCCTTCCCCCTGTGGGAATCCATTGTCAAGTGCATATCATATTTAAACCGCAGACTAGTTAGTCTGCAGATGAACTGGTTGTGAACCCAGCCAAGGGCTGTATTCAGAACAGATGATCTGCGGACTTACTGGTCGGTGGATCATATTTGGCCAACCCCACTTGAAACACATAACAGTTAGCGTACAAAAGAGAGGACAAGTTGTATTCTTCAATATTTCATTTTAAGAGAATTCTTTGACAAATCTGAATATAAGTAAGAAATGAAAATGGCATACAGTTGTCAAAGATGTGTATATTTTTAAAAACAGTTGAACTGTCTTGTTTTCATCATTAACTTCTGTTTGCATTCAGAACATTTGAATAAATGAGAAAAATGTTTGAAGTGAAAAAAATAATAAGCTGTTGAAACTGACTGCCCGTAAAGAGAGAAACTGTTTTCTGGCTATTGGATAAAGTACTTGTCAAAATCTTATAATTTACTTGATATATGCTGAATCTTATCAATTTTTCTTTGAAAACACAAACAGAGAATGATCATACTGTTCAACTAAATTTTTCAGCTAAACAGTATATGGATATCTAGTTTTTTAAATTAAACTGAATATAACTGTGGCCTACTTATTTGATTCATTGTAAAAAGTAACAAGGTATGTTATATTGATTGTGGCGCTGTTATCTTTTCTTTTAGCTGCCACATTCTGGCAGTAGGAAAAGGTCCCTTTTTCCTCCACTCATCATCTGGTTCTATCAATATCCCAGGCAACACAGCTGCTTAGAAGGCAGAATCTAGATTAATAGTACTGAAACCTGACACTGCCTCCTAGACCAGTCTCATTACTTTTTTGTTGCAATTGTCTGGTAATGGATTTAGGTGCTTTCTCTTTTTATTTAAGTTTGCCTTTTTTTCTCCTTTTGTTTAGTTTTAATCTTATAAAACAACAGAGGCAACAATATATTTTGCACTTTTGCCTTGATTAATGGCAGTATACACCACATCCTTTATATTGTTATTTGGTAATTCAGTCTTGGTTTGTATTAGTGTCAGTTTTTTTCATTTGTTTTAATCTTTCTCAGACCTGGTGAAATTTTAACACCAGGTGGTTAGCCCCTCCTATTCATTTTGCTAATTGGTACAATGTGGTGTATTGTTGTCCAGGTTAACGTTTTAATGCAAATTACAGAGACAGTTCTTCACAAAACCAGCACTGTTTTCGGGGTGACCTTTTACTTGAACCTCTGCCAAATTTACCATTAATTATTCATGTTGCCATGACTCATAGTTGTTCCTTTGCATTGGTTTTACAGTCAAGGTAGACAAGTGCTTGTCACGGCTGAAACCATTAAAGCCCAACAAAAGCCGCAAAATAAATATGAAAGGTTATAGTAAAGATCAAATAAAACAATACAAACATCGTACAATTCAATCCAATTGGAGTACAAATTTAACCCAGCCTGGTGCTATTCAACCCAGCATAGACTGTTGTGATATGACTTGAGCTAATATCAAACAGCATCAGACTGGAACCCATTCTTGCCAACACATGTGCCTTTTAACCACAAGGAGGAAATACTAGACCTATATAAACTGAATTAATGATTTGGGGGGATTCAAAAACACCAGGAGTTTTTTTGGAAAAACAGCCCAAATATAAATAAATGCAATATTTTATTTGGGTCTTGGTTTTGACCTTATCATTTAGTTAGTTTTATTGTCCTCCCTTGGTTTGTGTAGTTTTATGTTATGTCAAACAGATTTATGTTTTGATTAGTGGAATTGTTTTTTCAGCTGTAATTGGAATGAAAATGAGAAGTAAAAAAAAAAGCTATTCATCCGGATCAATTTTCTTGACAATTTCTGGTCAAATAAATAAGTTAAACATCTTCATTAATAATAAAAAATGATTTTGACTGGTTCTAAAGTGATAAGATGGTTATATTTTGTATCAACTCTTGCCTGTTCTAAAAGTGTTTGTTCACCTCATTCTTAGGAGAAGAAGCAGGCAGCTTGTTGTTTGAGGTCAGAGAGATCGCAGTTAATTCTGCAAGGCAGGTGAGACACAAGTTGTTAACAACCTGTCTGCTGCAGAGCTGATGGTTGGAGGCCACTTGTCCTGCAAGTTAACTTAAGTACATCAAATAACATTTTTCTCCTTACACCGTGATTAATATGCAGTTCAAGTTTTTACCTGCCGGCTACATTTTATGCACTATGTTTGTCTTACAGCTGTTTCATATATGAACTGTACTGGCCAGATATACGTAGAAATTTAAAGCTTAGAATAAATTTCCTTTTTTCTGCACTTTTGTACTTTCCACCTTTTAAATTACCAGATTTGTCTATGTGTAGGTTTTGAGGTATTGGGATATTTCCTGTGTTTGAATTTTATCATTTATTTTCTAAAATTTAATTAACTTTGGTATGAGTAAAACTTATGAACAGAATAGATTGCTTGGCAATGAAAAAAAATAAAGAAAACTGCTCAAGAGTTGTGCTGTGATAGGGATCATTTTACCTTCAATTGTATGTAAAGGTAGATAAAATATGTGCCTGTATGAATCATGATCTATCTCTGTTTGCCTTAGGGGTTTTGTTTGTCATGGACAACACACACAACAAATATCAGCCTTATGAAGTCTATTGATCATGAAGGGATTTTTATTAATTGAGCACTATGCCTGTTGTTTATATTCTCATACCTGCAAAGCATATCCATTAATGTAATAAATTAGAATGGACAAGACTTCAGCAAAAAGGGTCAGTATTTAATGTAAGTAGAATATGTTTTTAAAATCAAAGACAAAATAGATGTATTTGTAAATACTTCAAGTGATTTATAATTTTATAATCCTGTTATATGTTCGTATAAATAAAGGTGTTTAAATTTCATTTTTGTTATATTTGTGTCACAATACCAGTGCAGATTTATTCGTAAAATTTTCATAATTCTCTGAAAATACTTGACTCATGCCAGGCTCGTGGTTGGGGAGGGGGGGGGTTATATCAGTTGTCAGTTGTTACTACCCAGCCAGCTGCTTCTGTAAAACAACACATGCATCCCAAGCTGTTCTTTCAAAGAATGCCCAGCACATGTGAGATGCAACAGATGAAATGGTATTTGTTTGTTAGACTGTTGAGTCTCTTTGACACTTGAATAGAGAAAGCATGTCATTTTCTTTTAAATGATTTATAGTTTTTAGTTTTTTTTCTTTAAATTTTTATTTTCTGGCTATTGCCATATTTCTGACTTTTGTGGAGCCCATAATATCATTTTTGAGATCAGTGCAGAGGGCCCCATGCCAGGTTTTCGGACTTTTCTGCTGAATGGCAGTTTCATCCTTGATTTTTACAGGGAGAGTTTATATTACCTAGAAAATGGGCACGTGTCAAATGATGCACCTTTGTTTAAGAAAGTATGAAGAAAGTACATCTGTTTCACTGGCTGTTGCTATTGGATGTGACAGCAGTTACAGGAGTCAGTGATCTGCACTGGCATATTGTCTTGTCACCTGTTCAGGAATGAATTAACAAAACAAAGACCATCCTGAGCATTATTTGTGCCATTTCAAGGATGTTTTGATATATGAACCTGATACCCTGAAAGTCTGTAATATTTGCTCATTTATTGAAATTGATGCATGCATTATTTAAAAACTTTTTCAGTGAGCAGCAAAAATGTCGTCTTCGTGGAATGCAGGAAATAATGCTGAAACAAACAGTCAATCTTCCAACAACTCGCACGAAGATGCAACGGATGAACTAGGGAATGATGCAGAAGGGGTATGGAGTCCCGATATTGAACAGAGTTTCCAGGAGGCACTAGCAATCTACCCACCATGTGGGCGGAGAAAAATTATCCTTTCAGATGAAGGAAAGATGTATGGTAAGTAGTAATGTATAAATAAGACGATTTTGCTTGGAGAAGGAAGAAATNTTGTTGTTATATTTGTGTCACAATACCAGTGCAGATTTATTCGTAAAATTTTCATAACTCTCTGAAAATACTTGACTCATGCCAGGCTCGTGGTTGGGGAGGGGGGGGGTTATATCAGTTGTCAGTTGTTACAACCCAGCCAGCTGCTTCTGTAAAACAACACATGCATCCCAAGCTGTTCTTTCAAAGAATGCCCAGCACATGTGAGATGCAACAGATGAAATGGTATTTGTTTGTTAGACTGTTGAGTCTCTTTGACAATTGAATAGAGAAAGCATGTTATTTTCTTTTAAATGGTTTATAGTTTTCAGTTTTTTTTCTTCAAATTTTTATTTTCCGACTGTTGGCAGATTTCTAACTTTTTTGGAGCCCAGAGGGCCCCATGCCATGTTTTCAGGCTTTTCTGGTAAATGACAGTCTCTTCCCTGATTTTTACCTGGAGAGTTTATATTACCTAGAAAATGGGCACGTGTCAGATGATGCACCTTTGTTTAAGAAAGTATGAAGAAAGTACATCTGTTTCACTGGCTGTTGCTATTGGATGTGACAGCAGTTACAGGAGTCAGTGATCTGCACTGGCATATTGTCTTGTCACCTGTTCAGGAATGAATTAACAAAACAAAGACCATCCTGAGCATTATTTGTGCCATTTCAAGGATGTTTTGATATATGAACCTGATACCCTGAAAGTCTGTAATATTTGCTCATTTATCGAAATTGATGCATGCATTATTTAAAAACTTTTTCAGTGAGCAGCAAAAATGTCGTCTTCGTGGAATGCAGGAAATAATGCTGAAACAAACAGTCAATCTTCCAACAACTCGCACGAAGATGCAACGGATGAACTAGGGAATGATGCAGAAGGGGTATGGAGTCCCGATATTGAACAGAGTTTCCAGGAGGCACTAGCAATCTACCCACCATGTGGGCGGAGAAAAATTATCCTTTCAGATGAAGGAAAGATGTATGGTAAGTAGTAATGTATAAATAAGATGATTTTGCTTGGAGAAGGAAGAAATTGCAGTATTAAACTTTTTCACCAGTTGATTTCTAAATATGGTTTGTCTCAAACCCTAAGTTATTGTTATTCTTTTTTAATATGTTGCATCATTTCAGCAGTGAATAAGTAACTGAAAGGTTAGATAAGGCCAGCCATTAAAAACTTTTATTCAAACTGTATTGAATTAAGGTGTCAAAGTATTTATAGAGGAAGTAAATTTCACTGCAAGTTGGCATTAGGATGGGGTTGATCTGGAAAGAAAATGTCAAAAGCAATCATAAGTTGACTTGTATTAGCTTTAGAACATGCTGAAAGGCAGAAAAAAGTGGGACTACATTCAGCAAAGGCATCTTTGTTTAAAAACTTTTCAAGGGTCAGCCAAATTACCATATGTGAACAAAGCCTGTGTTATTGCTATGTTGTGTGTCTCAGTTAGAGAAAGCTTTATACACTTGCAAGTTAGCAACAGTAGGGAGAATACATATGTAAATTGAGGAACAACACCACTCTAGACCCGTTTCTAAATTTATGCCAGACAGTGAGTCATCATGGCTGAATAGACATCCTGTAAATTGACGTCAAATCCAAGTTTTAGGTGTTTACTGTAACAAGAACTCTTTAGTGAAATAGGAGGGGGGAGGCTGCTAAAATGAAAAAAAATCTCATAAATAATTTTGTTTGTATTGGTATCAATTATGTATCATAATATCACCTTCTGTCTTTCTTTCTCTTCGTCACAAACTTTTCTACATGTTTTGAAATTTTATTTACACATTATAAGTACACATTTGCCCTCCTCTGAAAGTATATTAGCTTGGTAAACATTTGATAAGTTTGAAATTGAACCTCCCTCTTTAGAGTAGGGGAAAGGGACATTTTGTCCATTTGATTCATTTTTTTCTTCATTCCCAAAAGGCCGTAATGAACTCATCGCAAGATACATGAAATTAAGAACTGGTAAAAACCGAACAAGGAAACAAGTGTCCAGTCATATTCAAGTCCTCGCTAGGAGAAAATCCAAAGAAATTCAAGCACAGCTCAAAGTAAGTTTATTGTAAAATATCTTTCTTTCTCTTCACTTTAAAGGACGAAATGAACTGATTGCTCGATACATCCAGTTAAGAACTGGTAAAACACGGACAAGAAAACAGGTGTCCAGTCATATGCAAGTCCTGGCTAGGAGAAAATCCAAAGAAATTCAAGCACAGTTAAAAGTAAGTTGTTAAAATTTATTTCGGTCAAAATGAAGGGAGCCCATTTGGGTGATACTAAGAACAATATATTAAAATTCCTTTGCGATCAAAATTTTGTTTTGGCATGCCTCTTAATTTTGTGTGCATTTTTGTATCCATTGACATCTGAATACAGTACATTACCTTTTATTAATTGACAAACTGAGTTGGGTTAACACTTACTGTATTAACATTGCCCTATCTTTGAAGCATGTATGCATTTTGTATGTTTGTGATATGTTTGAAAAGCAGTTAAAGCAGCTTCCTTACAGTTTTGTGAAGCAATCTATCCGGTGCCAACCAGTGAGGGAAGTGTCTTGCAGTCAACTGAGTAGTCTGTTGACATTTTTCAGGACCAAGCATCTAAAGACAAAGCTTTACAAAGTTTAGCCTCCATGAGCTCCGCCCAGATAGTGTCCGCTAGTGCCATCCACAACAAGGCTCTTACTCAGGGGATCGGCGGGATCCCAGCCCCCATGCCACCCACCATGCAGCCACCTTATGCAAGGCCTCCAGTAAGTAATATTGGTTCATTCATTTCAAACTGTCCCATTGCAGGATCCAACATTACGAGACCGAGCTCTACAGAATATGGCCTCTCTCTCTTCCTCTGAAATTCTGTCTGCCAGCAATACCCGCAATAATCAGGCTTTACTTCATGGGTTGTCTGGACTTCCTGTAGGGGGTCCTCGGGCGGCACCTATGCTCTACTCCAGGGCGGCTGTAAGTAGGGTTGATTTCTTGCATGCAAAACGGACTGCGAGGTCCAAAATCTCTTGCATGGCAATTCATCCGAGATGTGTAGGAGTTTGTGACTATTTTATGACGCTGCATGCTTTGTTTCTTGCCCCCATCTCTTTCCCCATTTAGACTTTCACTCTCTGTGTTTTTATTTGACTTTATTCAGCCTTTATAGTGAATCATTTCAAAGATGAAACCTATGAATCCTGCATTATACAGTTTATAATTTTTTCATACCATAGTTATTTATATTTTGAAACAAATACAAATTGGTCCTTATTTTTTATCGTCCTTTGTATTTGGTTTAGTTAACATTGTCTGATATTATTTGATCTTGCTGTTTTCAGTTTTGGCAACCAGGTCTTCCCCAGGGCGAGTAAGTATTATGTTTTCTTTAATGATGACTTTTAGTTGTTACTTTTAGTAAGCTCACATGTGTGGGGTTTCCTTGTAGGTTGAAGTTGGCTAGTGCATTGCACCAATTTGATATGCCAGAGTGATTTTACGAGTGTTAAATTTCTTAATAGACCTGTTAAGAGTCACAGTAGTGTTTTTTCTATTCATCAGTGCAGCGTAATGTGTCTACTTAGATATTGAGGAATAATTTAGACATAATGCATGAGCACTGTTCCCCGATATAACCACTAGGTTTTTTAATTTCAAAAAGGAAAAAAATTGAACAATTCTTTCATACATGATATTACCATTATGCCCCTAGAGACTTATTAGAGATTTATTCCTGTAGCTAATAATCTGCATCTTTGATCTAGAATCCATTCATTACCACTGTGAATGAAAAGAATTTATTCCAATTTATCTCCCTTTATTATTAGTAATGATACAGTAGTTTGCAATGCCTTGATTACTGCTACAGTATTATAAGAGCATTTTGTGGATAGCTAACTGAGTGAAATAATTGATGGAATCTAATAGGAGTTTTAGTGTTGGCTTTCAAATCACTATAAAGATGATATAAAGAGCATACATGGCTTTTCGTCAATTAAGATCTTGTACGAAATACAAAGTTCAGTAGTATTTGAGCTTTATTGAAAATCTGTGTTGAAAGTTTCGCTTGAAGTAAAGTCATTAAAACATAATTTTTCCACAACTGACCTCTGATAATTTCAAGTTACATAAAATAAGCCTATGTGGACACGGCTTTAGTGTACATTTTATGTTGCAGTGTGAAGCCGTACCCAGCAGGCTATGGCTCCATGGATACCAAGCCCCCTGTGTCCATGCCCAGTGAGTCCTCAGCGCCAGCATGGCAAGGGCGATCAATAGCAGGTCCCAAACTACGATTAGTGGAATTTTCTGCCTTCTTGGAAAACCAACGAGATCCTGAACAGGTGGGGATAAGATGTGGTGGTGGTTTTAAATGACATGATGATTGTTTTTCCATATGAAAGTTTATAGAATGTGATTTGTTCATATTGGTTTTTTTTTGTCAGTTCTTACTAATTAACCAGTGTGTTTGGTTATAATGAAGGAAGTCATACTAGCAAAAAAAAAGGAAAAAAATATGGCTGTTTAGTAGCTTTTTTGTTTCAGCAACAACCAAGAAAGTTTGAAATATGTAACTGATATAGGACTACACATGAAATGATATAATTTATTGTTTCTAATAAATTCACTTCTTTTATTCATTCCAGTACCATAAACACATATTTGTACACATGGGCTCTAATTCCAGTTACACAGATCCATTACTAGAGGTGAGAACAGTACTTATGTATAGATCCTGAATTAAATATCATTCTGTGGTACAGTATGCTTTCAACATGGTGCCTACCTGAATGATCTTTTGTAATGCTAATTACAGCTGATGTGCTAACAAGCAAGTTTATAATGCTGTATAAATGCTACATTTAATGTAATAAATCAGACACAGTGGTCTGTGGCATGTAAGTTTGTGAAGTTAGATTGAGCTGAGTAAATTTCACCTGGTAAGGAGTTGATTATATCTTCACTGTGTTATTGCTGTACTATGAAAATGAAGGAGTGGGGTTTATACAAGGCTCTGTTTGTTTGGCAAGATAGGCATGGCTTGATTTCCTGAATTATCTGTAAATGGAAAACTGAAGTTGTTTTTGAGGATGTGTTTGTTTTTAGCATTGTCAAATTTTGTGAAAGGTCCAAAATTAGAGGGAGAAAAATCCTTCCTGGTGGTCAAAGTTATGATATAGTTTGCAACTTGGTTAGTTAATATGCAATGCCCCAGGCCTTGTGGTTTTCTTCATTTTCTCTAAAGTTCGCCATACTTAAACAGATGGCAGGATTTTAGTTTTTGCTGTGTATTAAATGTCTGGTTGCCCATTATGCAATTGATGTAAGGCTTGTTAGCAGTGTTTGTCTCTTAGGAAAATTAGTTGCTGGACCGAGTCCAGCCATCTTGAAAAGTAGCTGGACTGAATGTCTGCCGGGTAAGAAAACTTCTCAGCCCGTTCTGAAAGTTGTCAGCCCTAGGCAGACGGTCCAGCCTTAATTTCTTACACTGCTTGTTAGTATTTGTTCTGGTGTCAGATATTCATTTTTCTCTTGAAATGATAGATGTCTAACTTGTGAGTAAGAAGCAGTCATATAATGGATGCAATGCAATATAGTGGTTATATGACATCATTTCTTGGGTAAGCTGCTGGTACATGTAACTTAACAAGCTAATCACGTCTGCATGTCTAGTGCTCATTGTTTTATTCTTAGTCCTTTTATTTAACACTGAAATTTTGCTTATTTTATGTATATCCTTTGTGTTTTATTGAACGTTTGAACATGTAGAGCATATTATGAGATTCCAAACAGAGATTTATTGACAGCTTGGCAAAGAAGATCTTAGTATATGTTTTTTGAAAAAAAAAATGGTTAAAATTATTTAAATTTACAGAAGTGGGGAAAAAAGCTTTTGTTTGCAACAGGAAAAGCTTGATACCCTTCTGGCCGAAACCAAACCTTTCAAGCTTTGTTTAATCAAAAACCATTGGGGGAACCAAGTTAAGTTCCTGGCATAGTCTGCTGTGCACAGCTGATGCCTGAGATTCCTGATAGATGAACACTAGGCAATGTAATGCCTTCGGAATATCTGTGCAGACTCTGAGTGGCATAGCTGCCATGGTTCCCAGGTCCTTTTGTTCACTGTGATGGATGGAAGCAGATGTGGAGACAGGAGAGCTAGAATTAATGGGTTCCTTTTACTGAGACTCTCTCTCTCTTTCTCTCTCTTTTTAAGCGGTTCCTTTTCTTGTTTGTCTGAGTTCACTGGGAAAAGTGTGTAGTACAGCAACCAATCTGGGTTTCTCACACTTCAATATAAATACAAGGAACCAACTAACTCTAGGTGTTCTCCCTAGATAAGCTTTAATGCAGGTGTAGTCATTCACCTGTGCAGGGCCCCTTAGGTTTACCTTTCATCTTGGATGAAAAGCTTAATTGCATGCTGTCAGCTCATAAAAGGCACCTTGACCTCAGGTTTATGTGAAGTGACCAGTTAGCTGAACAAGGGGGTCAGTTATTCTAGGCAGCACTAACTGCAGCTTCTGTGTGTAGTCTAATATGTATTTCATTGAAATGTGCACTGGGTTACCGCAACATGATAATGCGTGATTTGCTGAAAGTTATTACATTTAATGATGGGTTTGTTGAGTATGGCTGCACCTGTGACATTAATGTTTTATATTTCATTTTGTTGAAATGGTTTATTGTATTGTGGAAGACTACTGAGAATNCCTTTGTATTTGGTTTAGTTAACATTGTCTGATATTATTTGATCTTGCTGTTTTCAGTTTTGGCAACCAGGTCTTCCCCAGGGCGAGTAAGTATTATGTTTTCTTTAATGATGACTTTTAGTTGTTACTTTTAGTAAGCTCACATGTGTGGGGTTTCCTTGTAGGTTGAAGTTGGCTAGTGCATTGCACCAATTTGATATGCCAGAGTGATTTTATGAGTGTTAAATTTCTTAATAGACCTGTTAAGAGTCACAGTAGTGTTTTTTCTATTCATCAGTTCAGCGTAATGTGTCTACTTAGATACTGAGGAATAATTTAGACATAATGCATGAGCACTGTTCCCCGATATAACCACTAGGTTTTTTAATTTCAAAAAGGAAAAAAATTGAACAATTCTTTCATACATGATATTACCATTATGCCCCTAGAGACTTATTAGAGATTTATTCCTGTAGCTAATAATCTGCATCTTTGATCTAGAATCCATTCATTACCACTGTGAATGAAAAGAATTTATTCCAATTTATCTCCCTTTATTATTAGTAATGATACAGTAGTTTGCAATGCCTTGATTACTGCTACAGTATTATAAGAGCATTTTGTGGATAGCTAACTGAGTGAAATAATTGATGGAATCTAATAGGAGTTTTAGTGTTGGCTTTCAAATCACTATAAAGATGATATAAAGAGCATACATGGCTTTTCGTCAATTAAGTTCTTGTGAGAAAGACAAAGTTCAGTAGTATTCAAGCTTGATTGAAAATCTGTGTTGAAAGTTTCGCTTGAACTAAAGTCATTAAAACATAATTTTTCCACAACTAACCTCTTTGATAATTTCAAGTTACATAAAATAACCCTATGTGGACACAGCTTTAGTGTACATTTTATGTTGCAGTGTGAAGCCGTACCCAGCAGGCTATGGCTCCATGGATACCAAGCCCCCTGTGTCCATGCCCAGTGAGTCCTCAGCGCCAGCATGGCAAGGGCGATCAATAGCAGGTCCCAAACTACGACTAGTGGAATTTTCTGCCTTCTTGGAAAACCAACGAGATCCTGAACAGGTGGGGATAAGATGTGGTGGTGGTTTTAAATGACATGATGATTGTTTTTCCATATGAAAGTTTATAGAATGTGATTTGTTTATAGTGGTTTTTTTTTTTTTTTTTGTCAGTTCTTACTAATTAACCAGTGTGTTTGGTTATAATGAAGGAAGTCATACTAGCAAAAAATAAAAGGAAAAAAAATATGGCTGTTTAGTAGCTTTTTTGTTTCAGCAACAACCAAGAAAGTTTGAAATACGTAACTGATATAGGACTACACATGAAATGATATAATTTATTGTTTCTAATAAATTCACTTCTTTTATTCATTCCAGTACCATAAACACATATTTGTACACATGGGCTCTAATTCCAGTTACACAGATCCATTACTAGAGGTGAGAACAGTACTTATGTTTAGATCCTGAATTAAATATCATTCTGTGGTACAGTATGCTTTCAACATGGTGCCTACCTGAATGATCTTTTGTAATGCTAATTACAGCTGATGTGCTAACAAGCAAGTTTATAATGCTGTATAAATGCTACATTTAATGTAATAAATCAGACAGTGGTCTGTGGCATGTAAGTTTGTGAAGTTAGATTGAGCTGAGTAAATTTCACCTGGTAAGGAGTTGATTATATCTTCACTGTGTTATTGCTGTACTATGAAAATGAAGGAGTGGGGTTTATACAAGGCTCTGTTTGTTTGGCAAGATAGGCATGGCTTGATTTCCTGAATTATCTGTAAATGGAAAACTGAAGTTGTTTTTGAGGATGTGTATGTTTTTAGCATTGTCAAATTTTGTGACTTGTCCAAAATTAGAGGGAGAAAAATCCTTCCTGGTGGTCAAAGTTATGATATAGTTTGTAATTTGGTTAGTTAATATGCAATGCCCCAGGCCTTGTGGTTTTTCTTCATTTTCTCTTAAGTTTGCCATACTTAAACAGATGGCAGGATTTTAGTTTTTGCTGTGTATTAAATGTCTGGTTGCCCATTATGCAATTGATGTAAGGCTTGTTAGCAGTTTTTGCCTCTTTGGAAAATTAGTTGCTGGACCAAAAGTCCAGCCATCTTGAAAAGTAGCTGGACTGAATGTCTGCCGGGTGGGAAAACTTCTCAGCCCATTCTGAAAGTTGTCAGCCCTAGGCAGACAGTCCAGCCTTAATTTCTTACACTGCTTGTAAGTATTTGTTCTGGTGTCAGATATTCATTTTTCTCTTGAAATGATAGATGTCTGACTTGTGAGTAAGAAGCAGTCATATAATGGATGCAATGCAATATAGTGGTTATATGACATCATTTCTTGGGTAAGCTGCTGGTACATGTAACTTAACAAGCTAATCACGTCTACATGTCTAGTGCTCATTGTTTTATTCTTAGTCCTTTTATTTAACACTGAAATTTTGCTTATTTTATGTATATCCTTTGTGTTTTATTGAATGTTTGAACATGTAGAGCATATTATGAGATTCCAAACAGAGATTTGTTGACAGATTGGCATAGAAGATCTTAGTATATGTTTTTTGGGAAAAAAATGGTTAAAATTATTTAAATTTACAGAAGTGGGGAAAAAAGCTTTTGTTTGCAACAGGAAAAGCTTGATACCCTTCTGGCCGAAACCAAACCTTTCAAGCTTTGTTTAATCAAAAACCATTGGGGGAACCAAGTTAAGTTCCTGGCATAGTCTGCTGTGCACAGCTGATGCCTGAGATTCCTGATAGATGAACACTAGGCAATGTAATGCCTTCGGAATATCTGTGCAGACTCTGAGTGGCATAGCTGCCATGGTTCCCAGGTCCTTTTGTTCACTGTGATGGATGGAAGCAGATGTGGAGACAGGAGAGCTAGAATTAATGGGTTCCTTTTACTGAGACTCTCTCTCTCTTTTTAAGCGGTTCCTTTTCTTGTTTGTCCGAGTTCACTGGGAAAAGTGTGTAGTACAGCAACCAATCTGGGTTTCTCACACTTCAATATAAATACAAGGAACCAACTAACTCTAGGTGTTCTCCCTAGATAAGCTTTAATGCAGGTGTAGTCATTCACCTGTGCAGGGCCCCTTTGGTTTACCTTTCATCTTGGATAAAAAACTGAATTGCATGCTGTCAGCTCATAAAAGGCACCTTGACCTCAGGTTTATGTGAAGTGACCAGTTAGCTGAACAAGGGGGTCAGTTATTCTAGGCAGCACTAACTGCAGCTTCTGTGTGTAGTCTAATATGTATTTCATTGAAATGTGCACTGGGTTACCGCAACATGATAATGCGTGATTTGCTGAAAGTTATTACATTTAATGATGGGTTTGTTGAGTATGGCTGCACCTGTGACATTAATGTTTTATATTTCATTTTGTTGAAATGGTTTATTGTATTGTGGAAGACTACTGAAAATGTGGAGTCTGTTTAGTTTTAATTGAACAACTAAAAACAAAGTCTCAATTACAAGACAGGATATGATTTTAACAGCTGTTAACCAAGTGGTGGTTAATGTATTTTTCATGCAGGAGCTCCACCTAGTGAGATGTACTTCAGTTGAGTTACTTACATGATTTGATAAACGCTTTATATCTAATGGATGTTTCATCAAATAAAAATCCTGTCTTTTAATAGTGTCTGGATAATATTTGCAATCCTGTAAATTATTTAAGAGAAAATTTCACAGCAGAATGATATTAAGTCACTAAAATATGTTAAAGTTTATCAAAGTGAAGGGTTGTTTACAAAAGGGATCAAACATAGTGCATGTGGTTAATTCCAGAAAATGGTGGTTTTTAACAAATAGATGCATCAGAATTGAAATTTGTAAAATATTATTTTTCCAGGCAGTGGATATTCGACAGATTTATGACAAATTTCCAGAAAAGAAAGGTGGTTTGAAAGAATTATATGACAAAGGTCCACAAACAGCATTTTTCCTCGTCAAATTTTGGGTAAGTTTTTCTTTGATATTTAGCTTACAGTTGATTTTTGTCAATTTGATAAGGTGCTTTGAAGGTTTAGCTAAGGAAAAGTATTTTCTTTATTGAAGAAGTCCTTTGAACTATTGTCAGTTGCCTAATCAATTCTCATTCTGATATCCCTAAATGGAAGATACAAATGTATTTTGTATTTCAGGCTGATCTCAATACGAATGTCCAAGACGAGTCAGGTGCTTTTTATGGAGTCACAAGCCAGTGAGTACAGCAGTTACAAATAAAAGTCATTAATAGAAGTCGTAAAATACCTTGAGGTTAAATGTTGATGTGTGATGTGTAACTTGGTTAATGGTTNAAAAAAAAAAAGCTAAGACACCCAAGTGGAAGGGTGGTAAAGCTGTGAAGTGCAAGAAGCTATTTTCACTGGGACCCAAAGCCCCGCCTACCACCACCACCACTGGGGCCAAGGTCTCCAACTTCCTAGGGTTACTACAATACCCTATTTTCTTAAGTGTGACCATTGGGCACGAAATCATTCAAAATCATCAAGGTACATAGATGTTGGATGGAAATGTAGTGTACGTCTTTTTATTCTTTAAGTCAAGAATAACTTTGTATAATTTCAGTCAGTGTATTAGAGAAGATTACTGAATCAAACAATGAAATGTTGTGTCGTAATCTTTTTCAGACTGAATATCCCAGGTTTGAAAATGGACGTTTTGTGTACAACATAAATCGGTCACCAATGTGCGAATATATGATCAACTTCATCCACAAGCTCAAGCATCTTCCAGAGAAATACATGATGAACAGTGTGCTGGAAAACTTCACTATTTTACAGGTTGGTTTATATTTTGAAATGGTGAATTCATGTATAATGACAGCAAAATCCAAAGCACATTGGTGTTAATTCCTAGATATAAATAGATATTTAAAAAGCTAAAATCATGAAGCCTTAAAGTAAGATATTTGCATGTTTCTCTTGTAAATAAAACTGCATTGCTAGGTTTTCGAAGTGGTTTACTTATGTTTATTTAAATCATTAGTATGCAAACCCAGGCTGTTACCTATCCTTTAAGAAAAAAAACTACTGGTTTTCTTTTGACAGGTTGTGAGTAACAGAGACACCCAAGAAACCTTACTGTGCATATCATACGTGTTTGAGGTGTCAACGAGTGAACACGGGGCACAGCATCACATCTACCGCCTTGTTAAGGACTAGTTCACTGCCAGGCCCATCTTCCCGATTTGCCATTGACTGAACCACATATATGCAGGGCATAGTGTGTGAGGGAGAAAAAAAGGTGCACATACTGCTGCCACTGATTCATGTAAATGGCACAGGAAATAAAGCAGCTAGAAGGAAAAAAATAGAAATGATTTCTCAGGCTGCTTTTTTTGCCAGTGTTAAGGTGAAACAGTAGGTAGAAATTTGCTGCAATATTTACAGGTAAATAATATTGAAGCTGCTAAGAACTACTGTGTGTGCTACAGACAGATCTCAACTGCTGGTTCTATTTATTTGTTGAGCTCACACACCTTTTTTTTTTTTTTTTTTTCGTTAAGATCTGCAGATATAGGGTAAAAACTGAAACCAAATCCTATTGACTGCTATGTTAATGTATTTGACACATGAGCCAGGAACTGTTTTACCCCTGATGTGCTGAAAGTACAAAGTAGTAGAGCCTTGATAAAGAATATGCAAGTTACTTTGCACAAAGCTTTGTTGATGTTGTGAGAGATGTATTTTTGAAAACTTCTTACAGATTGGTCGTGTTGTTGACCATTTTCATGCATTTGGCTGAATTTTTGTATAGTTTTTATACACCCATTTCTCTTAGTCCGAGTATAGAAATCTCCACAGATATAGATGATTAAGAATTGTATTTGCTAAATCTAATACCATTTCATGCTAATTATACTTGTAAAAAGTATGGATTTTTTGTGACATTTTAGTCTTAGATTTGTCTGGTTTCATAAATATTCTAAAATATCGAGATATATATAGGAATGAAGGAATATACTTACTCCAGGTCTATCAGAGTGGCCAATAGTAGGTTCAAATATATAGATATTTACCCTGCTGATGATAAGAAATATGACATTGTTACTAATTGGACATCTTTAACTTCAGGTTGTGTAAGCTGTGAAATGATGCACAGCATACAATATACAATGAACTTTGTATGTGTGGAAGTCGGTGCCTTGTTTATATTATTCTTCTAACCAGTCGGGTTGAAGAAAGATTAGTATATGCAGTGCAGTTTGCACAATATTTTCTACTGGTTCTGGGAGCTGATCTACCCCTCTCTATTATAACTTTTGTGTAAGTACTGCAGCAACAGCAGCATTCCTTTGAAAACGATACTTCTAAACACTGTGCCTGTTTGATGACTTTGTTTTTTGTGGTTTATTTTTTAGTTGGGTGAGAAATGATCTTTTAAGTATATGAAGACATCGCTGTACTCTCTTCTGTTCAAGTCCTGTCCATCAAATTGAAAGATCTTTTATTACTAAGAAGACCTATTTTGATAGGGGAAAATCTGCATTTTATACAGCATTGTATATTTTGTAATTATAAGTACAGTATTTTATTAACTATTGTTTGTATATACATATTACACAATGATTGTACATGGCTTTTATAATATTTTATTTAGGCCCACCTATGCTTGATTTAAATATAGTGGTAATTTTATCTAGAAGTTGTGCTGTAAAACTGCATGTTGTCCCAAATTAAAAGCAATACATGGTTCTGGCTGGTCTGGGAGATTGTAACGCTATGCAAACCACAAAGTCTGGGTTAATACGAGCTACTGCCTTACAGCTGTCTTACTCTCTCTATGCATTGGTTGTCATAGCAACTTTTTTTAGTTGAAACTTCTGGCATCTTTTAATTTCACTGCAAATCTATATAAATACAATCGTCCAAGCCAACTAAGGTACCACTTATATAGACAGTTTGCTGATTATTATATTTTATCTCGGATTAGTAGACTAGTAATGAATGTATAGATTTTAATAGGGATTATCATGGTCCAGAAATGCCATTTGTGATTTTAAGAATATTGCGTTGTACTTATTTACCGATGATTTATGCAATAATTTTTTAAAGAAAAAAGGTGCTTTGCTGTACGAATAGATTGAAAGCAAATGTTATGCAATGAAAACTGTCACAATGATTATGAGCTTACTGCAGCGAACAAAAATCCTCAATGCCCGTTTTTCCACAAGCTGGTTCTTTGGATACTTTTTAACTTTGTGCAGCTTTGGGGGATTTCAAGACTTAACACCCCAACTGAATTGCTGGGCACAGCTGCACTGAAAATATACGTCATATAATCGCAACGTAAAGAGGTGAGCGTGTGCTCACACAAGTGTCCGTCTGTTCTGGACTATGTGATGAAGTTTGGAGTCCCACATTATTGGCGAATCGGTTTGATATTATTGGGGTTAAGCGCTTCTTTGCGATTAGACCATGGTGTAAAACTTTGAGAATGAATACTTTGTGCGTATGTCTGATTGAGGATTTAGCACGTTAGCACATATTAACTGTTGATGAGAACATTGTCAAATTAGCAGATGAAACTGAATAAAGCTTAATTTATCATTTGTTTGGAGTCCCTAAAAACGGATCACCGGAAGATGCAAATTGAAGAATGAAAAATTACATCGTATACTAAATACTACCGCATGAATGGTAGAAGTTAAAACGCTCTCGCTTTCGCTCTCTCTCTCTCTCTCTCTCTCTCACACACACACACAAACCTCACGGAACTTATTGTCGCCATTGTCCTGTAATGATGCGTAGCGTTTAAGTAAAAAACATTCTAAACTTTCTAAAGTAGCTGGGTAGTGACGTATACTCTAATCAAACCGTTTCCTTCAGTCCGTGTCAAAGCTGTTATTCCTCCATTTCGTCATCCTCCACCGGTACCACTACTCGTAATCGCACTGTTGCTAAATTCAATCTCTTTTCATTTACTAAAGAATAAAAAGTCGACCTTTGTTAGTATGTAATTTTGCTTTCAAAGAAAATTTGTATTTACATCAGTCTATATTTCATAGCTGCGATAAAAGTAATTGCGGCTGATGACTAAAATGTGTCATTATTATCGAGACATCATACGATTAATATTGATCTGATTAATGGTACTATCGACGCACAACAGTATAGATTACCCTGTCAGCTAAACGTACCCCGGATTACAAAGATAACCCTCTTGCTCCGCCATGTAATCGTCATATCAAGAAGCCATTAAACACCTCTGTAATCAATGCTAGATACCATCCCTGAAATAAGTCATGATGGCACTCAAATGAGGGCGTGGACGTATAAGTTTCACATTCTGAGAGGCTTCCTGCCTTTTTGGTTAGTGCGGAGCTATTCTGTTTATAATCGAATAAGTGCATAATTTTGTTGAATGAAAATACACGTCGGAAAACTGACCTAGGACCAGAAATGTGGAGACATCACAGTGTGAAGTCATCAAACTATCATTAATAAGTCTTCTATTTCGAATGTTAATAAATTTCGACTCTAGAATTCATCTCGAAGCGTCACTAGATGGGTGATTTTCGATTACTTTTCAATAAGATGCCTTTATGCTGGGCAAGGGTGGACATCAATAGCACCTGCTGCCATTACATCGTTTCTTCGAAATTGTTGTAGATGATATGTTGAACAGTACACATCCATGCTGTCTGTGTGTGACAATATTATATTTGAAAATGGTCTTAGTTTTAATTGTCTTATCAACAACTTTACCGGGATGGAATTCAAGACTTGAAAATCATCCAATCCTGCAAAAAAAGGTAATAATGTTAATTACGTTTGTTTGAATTAAAAGAAAAGAATATATACATGGGCAAAAAAATAGTCCAATGTCAAACGATTACATAATTATTTCTCTGCTTCTGCCTCAAACAATAACCTCGCGCCCCTCTCTCACGAAAAGAACAGTAACCTATCCAAACATATCATTCTCAGATTGCTTGCTTGTGTTAGGTGTGCGCTTAATAAACACAATATTAGTTGCACCACAGTCGCCGTCTAGCACATTGTTTGCTGCATTCTTGGGGGGATTAACCGTCTGAGCGGCATCGTCGAAGATTATAACATGTAACTTATTTGTTTTAACGTGTTCTTAGCGCCTTAAGGTTAATCGCTTGTTTCCCCAGTCAAGCTTGACCACCCAGGTGAGTATGAAGACACTGGGATGATTGCACTGTCGAACAGATGGCACTGGTTGGGGGCTTTCATTGTGTGAGAAAAATTACGTCCGTCTAGCACCGAAAGTCCCATTATCATGCTGATATTGTTTTAACCCCTCTATTGTTTTTGTTTTTATTTTTATTTTTGTTTTTGTCTAACCACCAAGCCACTTATTTTATTATTGGTGTGAATCCATCTTTCTACCCTCTACCAGGGCGACAGATATTATAGGCACATTTGCCACCAGTCACAGATCTTTAGAAGATTGACCATATTTAGCCAGAGACATTATCTGTGAATATCTTGTGAAAAATTAATCAGTGGACCCGATAGAGGGTACCATCTTTCCACCGTCAATTACATTTTAACTCGCCTATTGTTTTGAGCAGACAGTTGGTTATGTTTTTGTCCATTTGTTTTCTCTCTTTGTATTCACTTGTTTTAAGCCATGGATTTGTCTCTTCAAAATTTGAAAATAAGCAAAACATGTTGTTGGTACCCCTTATTGTAGTGCTTTTGTAAAACCCAATGAAGAGGAATACCCCAGTTTTCTTGAAAACTAAAAATATGCAGTATCCCCGCATGGTATTCAGTGCATGCAAACGATTATAATAATCAGTCCACGGATGGAATTTTACACCTATATTTACAAGATTATTTCACAGTTTACTCCCAAGTTGAGCTGGCTTATCCTCAGAACTCCTGAATACAAATTTTTACATCTGGAAACGGAACGTAGGGATTGCAATTAACGTCACACATTCTAAGTAACCGTGAGAAAGACTTATTAGCTAAACAAATATGTACAGCGTCATATTGTCAATAGAAGCCCCAGTGAGAGTTAAGACGGAGAAAATAGAAAAGCGGGAATTCAAAAAAGAAATTGGAGAATAAGCACACCATTATTTCACCATTGGAATTAGGTATATTACGGTATGTTGCACTTTTTCAAAATGATATCTTGCCATAACAGCGTGTCCGGCTTGCTTACGAAAAAGCCAGAAGTGCTTCTTATAGGCCTAATCAGCACAACACACAATCTAATCTAGGTTCCATTTTGCATGTTCTTGATTTTGTATATATTTATTCTTAACACATATATGAATAGGCCAAACTTCGTGGTGTTAAGTTCTTCGAGCCGATGAATCAATACTGCGATACTGAAACACTAATGGTCCTCAAGTTGAAGTGTTTTCGTTATAATTTTGCAATCTAATCCAATCTTATGTAGTCTAAGTCCCATTTTGCACTTCTTAATTTTGTATATATGTATTCTTTACACATATATGTGTAGGTTCAATCTTATGGTGTTAAGTTCTACGATCCGATGAATAAATATTGCGAAATTGAAACACGAGCTGCCCCGAGGTGTTTTCGTTTTAAGCTTGGTAATTGCTCCTTAAAAGATAATAGAACTCTTAGCGAATCTTAACACTATGTAAGTGGATACGCATTTTTTTCCTATTTCTTTTTTAATCAATGAAAATAAAGACAGGTAGGATAGTTTGCACGTGTCCTTGCTGTAATCAGGATATGAGGTTGTCTATATGTATGTGGAAGTGTTTGGCAAATTGTGAGCTTGTTTTACGCCATTTTACATTATAGCATCTCTACTCATTAATCATTTTCTTTCCTCAAAAATGAAATTCCAATAAGTTTCCAAAAACTACCCCTTGGGCAAAATCGCTTTGTAAGTAGATTTTTAGTTTTAAAGGCTTAAATCAAATTCGAATTCCAGCTTGTTTGTACCAATTTAATTATTCAGAAGATGAGATTTTTTATACAAAATTTTAAGTACATAACCATATCTAAAGAACAGAATATTTGATACAAAATAATATGAATGTGTGGAAAAGATAGAGAATCTTTCACAACGATAACATGGTGACATTGAAATTGCAGTAGTTGTGAAAACAATTGTGTTTTCTACTGTGGTCTCTGGTATAGTCTTGTTACCCACATCTGCTGTGCATGCTTTCCGTTTCCCTCGCAGTCTATACGCGTAAGATCATCTTGCGGGTGTTTATTTTTCTGCCTTTTCATTATGAATACCCAGGCTTATTTTAAAGTGGTTGAATTTAGGGCCACTGATAGACATAAAATTAAAAGAAGGGATGAGTTATCCAACATTCGAGGCTCCTAAAATTTTATTGTGATTAGACGAACGGGCAGTAGAAGGTGGAAATAGTTGACTGTAGGTCCAACAACGACAGGGAAATTATGCAAATTAAAGATTTGAAGATGGCTCTATCTATATCTTAGTATAGCAAATAGAGCCTAAACAATAAATTTCTAAATATACATATGCACTCTCTTCAAAACAAATGCATCCATTGTACTTTCTCTCGATTGTCCATGGTATCGCTTTGGATCTGTGTATCAGAGAGAGAGAGAGTGAGATGGCCATGACAGATATTGTAAGCGTGAAGGTCAGGTTAATTAAGCTGAACTTACGATGGGACGAGTTTGAGACGTGTTTGAGTGCGCTGTTGCATGCAAAATCTCAAAACAGCAGCCCCTGTATGTGCGTGCTACTACAGTATCGATCTTGACTTTTTTCAAAGCCATGCATCTTCCGGGTGTCTTTCCAACATCAAATCTTTCAATTAGAACACATTAAATGTCACCCAAAAATTGCGTGTGTAAGAGAAAAACGTATATATAATGAGGTACGATACTGGTCTTTGTTGAAATGTGTAAAAAGGGATACGCCACGAAAAACGAACACAACCAGGTACATGTAGTAGTACTACTACAGGAGGTGGACGTGTAAACATCACTTTTGAAACACCCAGTGATATTATATTTGTATATATAAAGCAAACGTTTAAGAGTTATTTACTGTGTAGATTATACATGGTTTGTTGTAGTTTACACCTCTGCAAGGTTTTGTGGATTTAACACCTTCCGGGTTTAGGCCCCAGGTTTATAGTTAACTACCTACCTATTTAACGCATTACTTTGTTTGGACAATTTTTCACACTGCCATTGATACGAAGTTCCGCAACCGGTGGACGGTGAAAGAGTACCGCGGCGGGGTCGAGCGGAACTGGGGGTTAGGTAGAGTTATATTACATAACGTAGCCTGTAATTAAAGGCTAATTACACAATTTTATCTTCCTGGACAGAGACACGTGAACATAATTCACGAGTAAAACAGGTAATGCCTGGGTAATTTTAAATATCTTGAATACAGTGCCGTGATCTTATCAGAGACAATCAACTGACTGCTAGGTCTATTAAGGCAGTCTATACAGAGTGACTTATCCAGGCAGTCTTTCTCTACCAGGCTCTAATGGCCGGCTTTGATAGGGATCACACCGGATAACTCAATCCGTCTCGGGGTAAGGGGTGATTGTCTTTTATCTCACCTCTCGTTTATTCTGTCAATCGTCCCCCGTTTCGTATTCTTCGGATCTAACCGGCTCGAACGCCTTTAATTATCTTATCTCATTGGCGACAGAGATCAGTTTAAATGGACTTAGCTAGCAAGAGGAATGCCTTGATATTTTACGTGGCAGAGAATACATATATTTATCATATCTGTCTCATTAGAAATGTTAATTGTATTCTGTATTGTTAAGTTATTCAATTGCATGATTCACTGCTTTTGTGGCATTGGTATATTCTCAGTAATGCATTTTTGCACGTAGACTTAGCGGTTTCCACAGGCTTTTCAAGAAATGTGTCTGTATCAGCATTCCTTTCTCATACTGTAAGGTTATATACACTGCTCTTTTTCCATGGTATGTTCTTTTTGTTAGTAGACATCATGTGAACAAAAATTCAATATAAAGAGACACATCCAAATTTTTAGAATTTCGCACACTTTTGACAAAAGAGAAAACATCTCATATCGTCTTACCCATATTTTTTAATCAAACCGGACTTACAGAGCAACAATATACAAATCTATAAGTTTAGAACAAAATGTTCTTTATCCCAATTATTGGTCTCCCACCAGAGCCGTGAATCTTGTGCTATAAAGTCAAACGAAAAGCCGGGGAAAGGAGGGACGGATCTTTTCTCAGTTTCATCCGTATTGACCCCAGGAAATGTAAAACGTCAGTGTCAATACCTAGCAAGTTTTGTTATATTCCTTGTCTCTCGGGGTATGAGGGTTGAATTTAGGCCTTATTTCCAACAAAAGTGCATTTGCTGTGTAAACACATTTAACGCGTGTGCTTCTGATGAACAAAGATCAGGTCGTTCCTCGACAAATATATTGGCAGCTGGCGCGTGCCCTAAGTACGGTTAAGTGTTTTCCTTTCTTTAACTTGTGTTTGAATTTGAGAAAGTTTAAATCACGTTTCCTAGACAAGAAGGAATTTACAACATGATGAAGATATGAATGGTCATAGTTTTTGGTACATGTGTTGGAACAGTGTTGGAAAGGCTTTGCGTTATTGACCATGCTCCGCGGCTCTCTTTGATGGAGTCGGCAGTTTCTATTGATTCCTGTTGATATCAGTTTATTCTGCTCGGCAGATTGACTCTGGCCAATGCCACAAAGGATCACGCTTTCTGTTCTTGGGGCAAGGGCAGATGCAGGCTGAAACTCGCAGTACATTTGGAAAGAGTTTGTATGCGTAAGGCAGTTGAACAAACACTCGCATAACTCCATATGCTCATTACACGTACGGCCGCCCGCTGAATTGAGCAATTGATTACATTGGTTGCATTCAGAACAAAGGCATGTCTCCTTGCAAATAGAGCTTACTTATAATTCCAATCATTTTATTGTAAAGCTGTGTGACCATCTGGCGTGTGCCATGACCACTTAGTTTACATACTAAAGCGCTGCAATTTGCATAGCAAACGCCGTGCCGTTCGCTTCACACTAAAGTATGATTTCGGTCTATCACATGTTGTAAAGGAAACGAAGTGAGTATTTGAGATATGCGCATTTTCTAACAAAAAGCGCGTGTCGCTAATGTGGTGAACGTTTTACACCTTTCTTGATAAGGATTCCATTGTTACAGACTTGCAGTCTCCGAAGTTCGCAGTCTCCTCTTCTTTCCAGTTACAGACACCTTAAACTAATTTGTTGGAAATTGTTAAAACTTTCTCCTAGCATCCAATATGTGCTCCGGGTAACTAGGAAATAATTACAGATTATTAAAAGGGTTAATTTTTCTTCGACTTCCGGTGTCACTCTGTCATATAATACTCATATTTACTTCTGCTCTTCATTTCTTTTGATCAATTTGTTTCATATCTCATTGATCCCTTCTTTTGATTTTTTTCATACTCGGCGAAACTAAAAACTACCGCTTTAGCCTGATTTCACATGTCAAGGAGTTTCAGTTAACTTGCTCATGTGCAACGTTTTATGTCGTTGACACACGAAGGGTGCCCTCTACCAGGGCCGCAGATCATATTGTGTGCACTTTTCTCTCAGTGTGCAGAAAAGTCCAATCATTTAACTGGAGACATATCTGTAAATATCTAGTGAAAAATAAATCTGTGACCATGGTAGAGGGTACACGAGGAGCAAGGCTGTTGTCTTTGAATATAAAAACCCGTGACACATCACGTACTAAGGACGCAATATAGGTTTTTGATATCCTTATTATTTGGGATTATGATACGCTTATGTTCATTTGCAAACAAAGAAGAAAAGACTCCCACAAGTTACTCACTTACACAATTAAGGCAATTTCGTGTATTGGTTTACACATTGAAAAAAATGTTAGACAAGGAGACAGGATGGGAAATTATGTCATTACGGTTTAAGTTGGAAGTTTGATCGTGGATGCAAGTCATATTTCATCCAAACATTTGTCAGAGGACAACTCATATAAAATGGAAAGGGAGAAAAGCTCTCGTTATGTTACTAACACAAAAGTCATTTTTCAAATGTTGGTCCAAAAATCACTTCAATCTTTTTTTAGTTACGACATAATCTAAAAAAGGATGCAACATGCGGTAGGGATAGAAAATAAGAAAATTCAAGACGGAAAAATTCCCCTATGACAGTTTTAAAACATGTAGCATTTGTCAAATAAAAGTCGGCATAGTTCGGTTTGTGCAACTGTAGTATAAAACTGATTTTTCGTGTTTTATCTAGTTGATATCTGCCTCACTTTAGCCATGCTCTTCGGAAAGAGAAACGTCATTTCAATACGGTAATTAATGGATTCATATAAATTACGCCACCTTTGCGTCCCAGTTTTCCCGCCATATAGTTTATTAGACTTCAAAGTATACATAACGTGACCCAAGTTGTTAAACCGGCTCCTTAAAACCAAATAACTCAAAACCTTTTTTGGCATATGTTAACAGTTTTACCACGCAAGGGGGTTGTTTACATCCCAGTTCAAGGCTTTCGTAAATAGACCACGCCCCCAGACCTCGCGAACCAATAGAATCGTGAGAGCGATTTAAACTCTGGTCCTCCTGACAGCTGTCAATTAAGGAGCGTGGGGTTGGTGATTGAAATAGAACACTCGTACTACACTGTACTACATTGCAGCTTGTGGCAGCAAAGGATATGGCTGTGTATTGCAGACGATCATTCAAAATGGATATAACACCAAGTAAATCTGTTAGGCGACGACTAGATTTTGGAGATGAACGCCCAGACGAGGCTCAAGTAATTTTGGAACTCAAAGACCAAGCGAGAATTATAGACGAAGAGAAGAAACGGCTGTGGAATTTTGACTTTGAATTAGAAGAGCCACTGGAAGGAAACTGGCTTTGGGAACGTTGTTGCGTTCCTGTTGAAAGTGCCCAAAATGACTTCGTTGAAAAACAGGAATCCTCACACACGGATAGTGAAAACTCAGACTGTATAGTAGGATCTACGTCTTCGTCTGTATCCAGTACGGCGTTAGACCTATCAGTAGTTCAATGTGTAGATAATTCCTTTTTCAGCCAAGTTAGTGAAAGAACGCCAACAATTTCTTCTAGCCAAAAACCAAGTATACGCCAACAGAAAATTACAGGTGAGACTGTGAAAAAAGTGTGACTTCATGTGATGGAAATGAGTTAAGCCAAATGATACATTTGTTATACAGTTGGGGTTTAAATTATACGAAGATTCGCGTCTTTTACTTGTCTCCAAATTACTTCTTAGATAAATTGTAATTCAACATTTATGATTCAGATATAAATCAAAGTGTAACTGCGTCATTTAGGGTATAACTGTTCGGTACAAAACCATGGATAGTCCACTCGCATGCTTAATATGTTTCGCGAGCCCAGGCAAGTCGCGTAAAGAGGGCCGAGCTCCGTGACCTCGCGTACTACAATCTCCATACATTATCATGTTACTTCAACCTGTCTATCTGAGCCCATTATCTTGAAGCTAGACCCTAGATAAAGATCCAGGGTAGCATTGCGCCGCATTCAAGCAGAGGACACCTGTTTGTGAATGCGACTTCTATCTGCTTTTGTTCACGCTAGTGACACAGAGCGTTCAACGCTAGCCCCCTTCTCCGCTCTCTGCCTGGACCGATCGGGGATTCGCGTGATGCCGCATATGATTGTCTTTTTAATTTACACCGTTTTCAGTGCCTTTTATTTTTACCGGCTTCGGCATTACTTCAAAGCCATGGGGTTGCTTAAGTTCTTTAATTACTAGATCCAAGCAAAACAGACTCATTTTCTGCTTTATTTATGACTGTTTGCTTAATGCGGTGGAGCTTTGTGAAATACTGTATCATGTTTGAGGTTAAGGGAAAATATTTTTCTTAGAGTTGAATAAATGATGCATGGACAAAAGAGTGCCAAAACAATAAATAATTTGAGGATGAAAGAGATATGTGCAAGTTATGAATAGAAGGTTATAGTACTGCAGTAAATAATAAGTCTTAAAGTTCCTAATGTATATATTCTTTTTTTCAGACATGCTCAAGCTCAAAAAAAGAAAACTGATTTCATCCATGAAACCCCAACAAAGCTCAAGAGACAACAAAAAGCCAAAACTAGAGAAAAATGCCAGTTAGGTATGTGCATATTAATATTTCTACCCTGAGTCACCCACCTTGTCAAAACAGTTCTACCTGCCTGGACACGAAAGTGAAAGGCGTCAAAATCCTTTGTCTAACCACCAAACCACTTATTCTGTATTTGTTTAAACATGAACTATGGAGAGCATGCATATCTATTATTTTGCTAACTGATTATGCTTACTTATATTTGATAAGGATTTATCAGTTTATGATATGACTTCGTTCAAGATAATATAAGAGAAACAAAAACTGTTCTCATTTTATCATAACGCAGCAAGGGAAATGCAATAAGCCATTGTGTTGTGGCAGCTTGTGTAGGTGTAAAAACTGAAGGAAGTCTTCCCTTTAGGTTTCCACCTTAAAAACAGTAGGCAGCTCCCTTATTCAGGTGTCAAATGTGCTAATCACCAATTTAAGGCAGGGAGCATTTTTAGGCAGGTTAATATCATTATTAATTACACCAAAATGGCCTCTAATCTTCGTACATGCTGTTCACGTTTCCTGACCCTAAAAGATTAGTGATTACAGAAAGTAATGGGGTTATGGAATGGGGGTGTTTTAAATTGTTTAAAGTGTCATCCCTGTGTGGGTAATTGAAATAGAAATAAAACCTGGAACCTGGCTTTGAAATTGAAATGTAAACACATCACAGGTACTCTGTGTAATCAAGTGAAATGGTTAAATACACCAGGAGCTGTGCCAAGTAAAATATTATTCCTCTCTTTCATACCAAACAAAGGGTTTCTGAAGCCCGGCTCTTGGCAGCTACAACGTGCATTATTTATTAGCACTTTTGTGATTGCCCATGCTGTAATATTTGTAACTGCATAACACATGAGTAGAAGAATATCTGAATGGAATATTACAGCTCCCATATGTCTCACTCACTTTCACAGCTGGTGCCCACATAAGTTTCAGATCTAAAGCACATTAAAACAAGCACCTGCATTTGCTTAGCTTTCCCTACCACTATAACTGGATTTCTCATTAGTGATGCTGTAAGCTTCATCTGATCATTTTGGAACTGTATAGAATATTGAATGGCCAGGAAAGTGCAATGAAAAGTTTGGGACTGGCAAAAAAAAAGAAAGAAAGAAAAGATTAAGGTAAACAGACCTAGTGGTTGAACATGATTTGGCTGTTATCTGGTTTGGATCAAAAAAGGGTTTATTTGGCTGGAGGTAGTAGCTTCCACCCTGGCTTAAGCATTTAGCATGTAGAGGATGATATGGCTTAACCAATTCCCCAGGTTAAGCCCCACTTTGAAAGGTGGATCAGCTGTCCGGCCGAATTAGAATTTTTCTTTGTCAAGGGGCCTGAGTAGCTCTTTTATGATGGACTCTGTGAGGATTTAGAAAGACTGAGACATCTACTGAGAAAAGCCTCTTAGTTTCTAATGAATAACTTTTATTCCCTTTCCATCTGTCAGATTCAGTCCAGGCATCTTTGTCGAGACACAGATTGTTCACTCTGGCGTCTAGAGAAAACCCCTAAGTAAATTGAATGTAGTCTGCTGAAATGAGATAAAGTCAATAGGCAGACTGTAAATTTGAACAAATAATTATTATTTTATTAGTTGATGATAGCAAGGGTTGCTACATGCTACTTTGGATTGTATTTTCTCTGTATCAAAATACATGCATATTAACTTTAACATACCCCCTCGAAGTTTAATTCAGCTGTGACGTTGCACATCCAGGACAGGTCCAGCAACTTTTAAGATCGTGATGCCAAGAAATTGTGTGCTTTGTGATATTAAACTTGTGACCTATTGACAGGACAAAGGGAAAGAAATCACATTACGTGATGTGTGTATGGTTACCTCACCTGGCATTAGCTCACCTTAGTGTGATCAGAGAGATCAAGAGTTTATGCATATTTTGGTTGAAAGATTTCCTTAGGTGACCCTAGACTTATTCTTCATAATTCGCGGTGAATATGTGTGCTTTTTCAACTGGTGCAGGGGTGAGGGAAAGGTTGCCTGATTTAAAGCATTCAGTAAGCAAACATTGCTCCTTTTGAGCAATGTTTTTGTAGTGAGGTGAATTACCCATCCACAGAGAGTTCATTTAAATAAACTTTTATGTAAATGAAAATAATACAGAGAATTGATGCAAACATGTTTTACTTAAACTATAGAAATGGTTATGTAAGGTTACATAATACTGCTGTCATAGCAAAATTACAAACTTGAATGCCAAAATAAAAACTTTTTTCTCAGAGTACCTGTTTCCTGTTCAAGTTTGTAATTTTACCTAGATCAACATTGGATTTAAAATTATGTTTCAGATTTGATCAGTGGTCTTTTGTTCAATTAAAGTGCTTGGAAGAAATTGTTTAAACCATATTGCCCCCTCTGAGCATCCAACAGTGGAAGTATTGATAAAATAATTACCCCAACCTAGTTTCCTGCGCTTTTTTGGGGAAATAAGTGGAAAAGGGATCAGTTTATTGAAAGAGACAAACCCTCATTGATTGTTGGTACTTATGTTGTTTGTTTTTCTGCTTGGCTGGTTTAGTTGTAAACATCTGTGTGTGCCTACCTTTGGTGAAGTGTGGGGCAGTGGCAGAGGACCCTGGGAACTTGAGGGACAGGCCTCAGGGGCTTAGTACACACCTCTCTGTTTGATCATGTGACTATTTGTTTAGAAAAACTTGTCCTAGAAATAAGTGAATGGGATAAATCTCCAAAAAGGAAACAGAAAAAGAGTCAGAAGAGAAGAAAAGGTCAAGTTGGGTCATAATTTTGGCAATCATCCACTCTTTTTGAAAGGAAATATTGAAGTCCCCAGATCTCAGTTCATCTAAAGAAAATACAGTGTGAGGTGGATCAATAGAAACCTCGAACAAGGGTGGGGAGGGTTTTTATGTTAAATACTGGATAGTTGGTGGTTTATGTAAACTTAGGAGAACCTTGCAAATATTACCTGCCTATTTTGATCTAGGGACTTTTCCTGATTTCATGTTTTGAGATCTTTTAACAATGCTCTGTGTGCACCTGTGTCCAAAAGAAAGGTCATATAGCAGAGGGTTAGATGAACATTTATCTGGATTGTTCCTTATCATCACGGTGCATAGTATTAGGTGAAATGAGCATACTGAATACTAGGCTATCTAGTCAATTTGATGAGAGCTGTGGAATTCCGATTGTTCTTTGAGTAGGGTTTAGATATGGATTCCAGCCTGTCCTAGCTGGACTAGACGTAGATGTGTGGTTTTGGAGATAATAAGACCGCATTCCTTAAAATATAGTGACCCCCTAACTCTTGCTAAGGAGGTGATGGTGGCAGTCATTGTTGAAACCACAAAAAGTTTTATGACTCTCATTCTGTCTGGCAATTTTGCAGTGGGGATCATTCATTCAAAGCCCAAAAATATTTTTTGAGACTTAATGCAAAATCAAGTGAGATTTTGCAGGTTTTGAGAAGAGTGGAATCGGAAAAAATGACAAACTAGCAAATGTAATTAAAAGCTGGCAGAGTTAATCCACGGACATTTTTTTTGTTTTTTTTTCTCTGAATTTCTGTCGTAGTACAGTGTGTTTTGAGTGTCACTGAAGGTTCTCATCTTTTCTAGTTTCTTATGATGTAACACAGTGCCGTCAGCCACATTTTAGGATATCATGGATGGTCCCAATTACCCAGTATTTACAATATTAAGTGGAAAAAATAACAGAAATATATATTTTTGCATTGTCAAACAAATGTATCTTCCTTGTTGTGGCATATTTATGTGCTGGGGTGCTGATTTGTTTCTTTAAAGAACCTTGTATATCCCCTTTTTAATAAGCCATGGTAAAGAAAAACATACATTTGATTGACAGCCGTCAGCTGGTGTAGAGGTTTTTATACGCAGCCCCTGGATAGCGTCATCTCATCAGCTCAGTGAGCCCAGGGCCGAGGTGGAATAAGAGAAACCATGTGCAAGCCATCAGGCCCTATCAGTTGTGGCATATGACTGGACCAGATTGAATTGCAGAGCTTTGGCTACTGTGTCCACAGCAATCCACCCCTTCACAAATAAATCAGAAATTGGATTTCATACAGCTCAAACTGGGTGAACATAATGAGAGGATGGCTGGACGGCTCTGACCGTATATGGTGGGGGCTATTAGTATTTGGAGACAGTGTATCATCTGAAGGTTGAATAATTCACCCTGTACTTTTACTCTCTTGTAACTGGCCTGGTAGGGCATCTAAGGACAAATGTAGCTTTAAATCATTTTAGTAACCTGAGATTTTGCTTAATAAAAAAGAGGGTCATGCATTGTTGAATGCTTTCATGGCTGCTATTTTCTTTTCTACTAATGCAATTTCAGTTAAGAGATGGTCACATGAGTAGCTGGTTTCAGTTATCCACACTGTTAACCCAAGTAAATGGTTGACTATTGCCTCTTTGTAGCTATCAATTGAAAGAAAACCTTCCTTTCTGAGGTTAAGGTCTTTTTCTATGCACTGTCACAGTATCAACATTGAATGGCATGCATCTGAATATATTTGGATTTTAAGACAGTATTGATTTCATCTTTGTACCCAAAGAGACACTTTGAACGGAACAGCAGCCACCAAAATCACAATTAATGACATAACTGACAATTATGTTCTCTTTTGTTTTAAATCTGCACCTGGCACGGATGAATAAAAATGTCAATAAACCCATCAGTAACAGTGGGGCATACATGACCAAGTTTCTCAGGAAGTTCTTGTAAATAGGGGGACAATTAATACTGACGCTAGTTAATGTCTTAATGAGTGTTACAACATAGCTGCAAGCTTACACAGCCTTGGCTTTGGTAGGGGACTTCTCTATAAAAATGATTTCCGTTAAGTATTAAAAAACAATGAAGGTGCGTGCAAGTTGTGAGGCAGTGCTGCCAGGCTATCTAGAGGTTGATTAGAGTTGACATTTTGGGCTCCTTAGGTTGCCACTTCACTGTAGCTAAGGTTGTATTTTGCTCATTGTTGTTATAATTTTGGACATCACTGAATGAGTGCCCTTCCCAAGGGCTGGAACAGTTGTAGAGTGGAATGTGTCAATATTTAAAGTTGTTGATAAGCACTGATGCCTCTTTGCCATACATAAACTTAAATTGACATTTGAAAGAGAATTCTCTCCTCGAAATTCCTGAAATTTGACAGTTTCAGGATCAGGAGAGCTATTAACTGGAATTACTTATTTTACTTTGAAATATTGTTTATTACATGTTCATTCAACAATAAGCAACAATGGTGTAAACTTCCACTTTTTTCCTCTTTTCCAGACTCCATCCTGTAACCATGGTAATGGAGTTACCCACAATGCACAAGAGCCTGCCAGTGCCAGCAGTAATCCATCAAGTTTGATTGCCTTGGGGCTAGTAGGAGGCAGGAGAACTTTACCTGCTGCATGAAATGCTATCCCACTTCCTACACTCCTTAAAAGGAGTGGTGGAGAGTGGCAGACATTTTGTGAAGGGACCAAGACAAACAGTTCCCACCTGTGATGAAGTGAGGCCCAAGCAAATTAGTTCCATCCCCGATTTGATTAGAAGGGAAGGTAGAGAGAGGAGAACTCTGGCTGCCTGATGTTTTGTGTAGAAACTTGAGCAGGTTCTGCAAGCCAAACATGGCATCAGGTGGACTCAAAAATAGACACAGACAAATTGAGAGTTGGTTTTAATAGACAGCATGAATGAACTTTGAAAATGTTGAACAGCTGTAAAGTGGAGAGATCTCTGATGCATGCTGTTCACTCACCTAGGCTTACTTCATTCAGATTATGTTACTCAAGGCAAAACAACTGCACACTCTCCGAGGCCCTTGGTTTGTGTGGAAAACTTTATCTGCTGTCATCAGTGCAATGGCACGCATTTTGATCTCATTTTGTATAGTTATTATTCTTATTCAGATTATTATTATGTAACTGAAGACAAAGCTCTGGAGCAAGGATTGCTGTTAGGGTTGAAAGTGTATTTTTCCTTATCGAGTTAATTTATACCTTGAAGTCAAATTGAGTTGAAAAATATCAAAATTCAATAGTGAAATGCCCAGTTGTCCAGCTATCTGGTCAAGAGATAAGATCCTCAGTTGAATACTTCATTCACTGTTTAATTAAATTGTCTTGGAGGTTGAAATCATAGAAGGCAGGTAAAATGACCAGATGGTTCTCTTGACCACCAAGTGACACTTGTGGTCAAGTGGGACAGGACACTTGAGAATAGAGAGAAAGAAAGCAATAGGGGTTGGTGCAATGGCCACTATAATACTTGGGCCTGATAAGTGGTAGTTTGTTTGTTAGTTACCAGTTATCCCACCAGTGTGTGGTGGGCTGAAAATCACCTTTTCTAAGATCTCGTAGTTAGTCAAGCTGGATACTTTGTAGCCACATCAAAAAGTGTGGGGCCAGTTGAAGTTGAATGCGCAAACTAATGGTATCTGGAGGTGCAAAGCTGGAGTGCTTTATATTCCAGAGTGGTTTTCTTGTTTAGAGGAGGGAAGAGGCTGGGTTTTTGCTCGGATTTAATACTTTTCAAGCAGGGTCTTTGCATGAAAGCAACATGAAAAGTGGAAATCGGCTTCTTAAACATGACATGTTATTTATGTTGTATATGTGTACATAGAACTTGTAACAAAATGTACTTTATGTTTTTTGTAATATTTATTATCTTTTGGTAAATTTTGTAACAAAAAGTCTATATTTATCAGGTACTGAAATAGTTCACTAAAGGCATTGATCGATTTGACAAAATTAGAAGAAGAATATTAGTTGGATAATGGTTGTGTTATGAAAAAAGTGGATATTTTGTGTGCACTGTTTAAAATGTGCCAATTCCAGTGGGGAAAAGGTTTAGATGTGCAATAGATTGGTTTAAAGAAAATCTGGCAGCAGAAGTGCATTCTGGGATTATAAAAAAAAGTTATGTCAGGGGTTTAATTTGTGGCAATTATTTTTATTTTAAGTAAAACCTGTCAGGGAATTTTTGTTATGGTCAACATATGATAACTCCACTGATATTTATAGCAATTACAACTTGTTATAATTGTATAACCATAACTTACACTGTTTTACCAACTTTATTTTTGTCTTCATTTATTATCTTTAGTTGGGCAAAATCATATTGATCTCAATTTATGATGAAAAATCCCTTCTGCTTTGTGTCAGTGCACTGTATATATTTATTTACATGTACCATATACCAATATGAGTGGTTATTTTCTAACGCCATCATGAACACAATAAAGTAAATGAATATTTAACATGAAGGTCTTGGATATTTATTTGCCTAAATACAAAACACGAGATAAAGATGCGTTCTTCCTCGTAGTTTTGGTTATTAATAAACGCTGCTTATTACATTATCTTCCACCCACAGGCAAATCGCAATTTTATCCGCAGTCCAAAACTTCCTGATGTTTGGTTTAATGATTGGATAGGAAGTCTGCCCTTCGTTCCTAATTTTCAAGATTTAGATACTCCTCTTGTTACGCAACTTAATGCCTTTCAGGCGCAGGCTTCTGTTTCTAACTATAGAAAGATACATGTAGCGAGAGAAATAAGATAATCCACACAGATTCAATACCTAATTACGGAGAATTCTGTTTTGTTGCTCCCTTTGTCATAACTGAAGGTCTTTGTCACATCGGCAAGGTAGTATGGCAAGGCTTACATTACAATCATGAGCTAGCTGTATGAAAATAAGAATGGAGACCCTGTGCGTATTCAATAAAACAAGGAGCTAAGCCGACGACTAGAGCGGCGGTTTCGCGTGTAATAACCGTTCCAAACTTCCTGCTTCATTGATGCTTATTTTGGATTCTGTCCGATGCCTAGGTAACCAGCGTTTCAAAGCAAAAAAATCAACACTGATTTTTAAGTTTTCTTATTATCACATTAATTCTAGTATTAAGCATGGTGACCAATATTCTATTGTTTCTATTTTGTCTGAAATAGTAAAGCTGTAAAAAGTTCATTTACACGACGACGATCAGGAAGTAAGCTATTCGCTGCACACATATCGATATTTATAACCACAAACCCAGCCACTTTCATGGCTTAATTTGTCGTGCAAATCAGATTATCTTCATGTCAGGATGTAGGCTCTGCCTCAATGACACCTTTAATTAATCAAACAGAATGAGAGACATGCTTTCATTGAAACTTTTTTCTGGAATTCGAAGTGCAGACAAAAGACGTCAGTAGTAAAGAAAAAACTGTCTCTAGAACATTTTTCATTTCATACTGAAAAAATAAAACAATTCGTGCAGAAGAATAAAGGAAAGAATGAAAGAAAAAAGAAGAAAGTACTTATGGCAGCATGTGCTATTGGTTATGCACTTGGTAAACATCAACTAGTGTTTTACAGCTCATTAGTCTCCTAGGCTGACACTAGTCAAAGGATGGAAGGAAACACGATTCACCTGTTGTACTATTAACCACGGTATTGTGCAAGAAATATTTGTCATCAGGCGTATTGGGGCCAAAAAGATATCCACCATCTATGTCCATGTGATGTATGTAATGCAAAATATACTATAAGCCACTATAAACAAAGCGTACATATGAACAAATACAAAATCAAAATCTTTCAACTAATAATGGGACATTTTTCTTATGCTTTTTTCAATAAAGCAATGCCCCCAAAAGTGGCAATTGGGCTACGGTTCTTCCACCATTAGTACTGCAGATTTACGGTTTTATCGGTGTTAAAAATCCAGGTTTGCTGAATTTTTTTCACTAGGAAATAATGTACAGAAATAAAAGTTTATATCACACAAATAAAAGATTATATCACACGTCACTTTGGAACCCTACCAGTAAAACGTTAATTTACAGCAGAAAAACATCCCTGACATTGTAATAAAGAGGAAATCAAACCCCCAAGATTAAATCGAGAAATCGTAGTTGTGGAAAATCAGATTAAGAGAGAGAGAGAGGGGGTTGCTATGCGAGGCAAAGTTTAAAAAACTGTAATAGGATCACAGTCTAGAAAATCAAAAATGTCCCCTGCTTGCGGAAACGAAAAATGTTCTGATGGAACAAGATTCGACAAGGACAACTTTATGGTCAACAACACGGTGTCAACATGGAATGCCGAAGCATTGTTCTTTCAGCGAGTAATTATACGCCTTGCTGCTGGCCTGTCTTGGAGGAGGTAGTCTGCTTCAACGGCTCCTTTCCATCCACCCAGGAGCCGGCAGCTGGCGTATGTCAGAGAAAGAGGGAGAAAGAGAGAGATCATTAAAATATGTTGCCACGACATGTTGCAGATATATGTGTTTTCATATACATATGTACGTTTTATACAGGTTTCGTTTTAACAAAATAAACGAATTTGATGTTCTTGTAGTAACGATCTTTGAAAATGTTGTATTCGATCAAGTGGTTTCATTTATACGGCACCTTTGTTCGCTCATTTTAATTCCAAATAGAAAAAATGGCGGTGTTACATGCACTTATATGAAACTTCTATCCCAAAGACATCGCGCTGCTCAGATTCTGTATCTGTGTCATGACACTCAAAAGTATTTTTAATTCAGCTTCTTATTCCATTTTTTCTCTTTAAATTGCCTTATTTTATGAGAATAGGGTGCCACCCCCCACTTTCTGTCATGATACTTTTTACGTCGCCAAGTAATGGGAAGGTGGTTTATGTCAATGTCAGTCTCGTCTGTCTGGTATGATGGCGCCAATCTCTTAAAAACAAGTACAAGAAAACCCCAGCTAAGAGTCCCCTTCAAGATTTGGTCAGTGGCGCTGTTCAAGCTCGGTTAGACTAATAAAACATGACATTAGGCGCGTGCTCAGTACAATTCTCTCTGCAGGCCGAAAATTAAATCGTTTTACAATTCCTAACCTAAATAAGCATATTCTTACGATAGTAGTGCGTACTTAACCCAACGTCACGCTACAACAAACCTCTTACTCGACACTTTAACTTCAAAAATCCTGAAGACATTTTCAATTCCTTCCAATTTTTGTCAGAAAAAAAACAGAATAATTATTCAAAAACCAACAGATATGTTTTTTTTAAGCAGAGCCTAGAGATGATTAAACTTTAAAAACGAATCAAAAGTCTAAATTATCGCTCCACCTGCTTAATTTCCGTATTAAAGAAATCCATTGCTGTAGGAGACCGATCTTCATATATTTTGCATGTATTTAATCACGGCTGATCAGCTGTCAGGGTCCGTATTCATTCCCCGTGCCAGCGTGGTATAGCGTGTGGAAGAGGTGCTAGAGGTGAGAGCTCGAAGGCGCAACTTGACATGAAATCGACCTAAACAGCTCTTGTACAAGTGGCAGGGGGCGACTTGTGGAATTTTATGGCCGCCGCACAGCTGGTTAAAAGAGCGTTCTCTCTTGGAGCTCAGATTAGAGATTGTCATTTATTACGATGTAATAATGTACAAGATGCTTGAAATCTAAAGACGCTAAATACTTGTGAGCACGTGATTATAGCAGAGACACACGAAAGCGCTCCTGTTACCTTTGCTGCTTCTGATGAGCTAGCATCACGTACTATAACAATACCTCAGTTCTCCGCTGAATAAACACATTTAAACTAGTTCATTTCTTCTGTGAATGCAAGCAATAAAGGGTGACGAACTAAATAGCATGAAATCACCATCACATGGGGTTTTATGTGAGAAAGGTGGGTAACAAATTTTCCTGAATGAGATGATAAGATGCAGAAAATGCTCTATTCAAACCCGTGTAAACATAGTTCATACAGTGATACTGATCTTCAAACGAACGGGCTGGTTATTTTGTGGGGACCGGGTGATTAATAGTCATCCGATACTGCTCGGGTTGGGAATCTGAAATGATTTAAAGGAAATAAATTTAGTCACCATTGTCTTTCTTTCAAGATCTTTTCGCAACCACCCTCAATTATATTTGATTTAGTTACACCATGGAAATATAGCGTGGATATACGATATACTTCCATGGTTACACTTATGATTAGTGTAATTTGACTTTTGAAAAAATCTAACTCACGTCGATGTGTTTGAAGACTAGGACTCACCCAGTGTCACCTGGATCCTAGATTACGAGGACGGATTCGGTGTATTAGTAGGACAGGATGAAGGGATGATGTTAAATTACCAATATTAGTTGCTTTTGAAAGATTTTGGCGCCTTGTAGTGATATTTTGTAACGGAGTGACTTTATCAAGGTTTCTCCAAGTATAGCCTCGTTGACTAAATACTTACAGATAAGAAACTGTTATGGCCTATGATTGAACTCTTATGTGGTGTTTAAACAATGATTTTCGATTCGAAAATCTGTTATTAAGGATATTATTAACTAGCGAACTAACGATAAAGTACTCGAGTCGGTACTAAATGTGCAGAGAGAGAGAGAGAGAGAGAGAACTGATTTAAGTGAAACCATGCCATTTAAGAAGTTTGAATCTAGATTTTCGTGAAAATGAAAAAACAACAAGCGCAAGAACATCAACGGAATATCTCTTATCGCGTACATGTAGTGCCTACAGCCAGTCGTTGAAGGCGGTCATCCCCAAGTGGACATGGCAGATGTTTGTCCTCCAGTCAAAATCCTTATAAATAAAGCCATTAATGAAACCCCTGCAAATACTTCCCACTGTCTTTTTAGTAGCTGAAATGGAGATGATCATTAATTTGCAATTAAGTCTATCCCCTAGGAAGCCTAAGGTAAAGTCAGGTGATTTGATACTTGTCACTAAAAGAAAAACTGGAATAGAAGATGCCCAAAGTGAACTGGTAAAATGTTCATAGTAACGTCGATTTTTTGCATTAAAAAATACGAGAAAAATTACTAGTGCATTATTTGTTTCAATACAGCTTTCTCCCTGTATGTTTGAATCCCCTTTGTTGCCAATACCGCGAGTTGCTGATTGTTTAGGTAGGGCTATACCCGTCGCTATAGGTCTTTCGCCACTGTTTATCGAAAACTGGGCATAACCTGTGAAAATATGTGCTAATTTGGTTGAAAATGTAAATTATTATGACAACCTTCGCGCCTTGGCAGCTCGTGCGATGACAGATCGCATGGGTGGAGAAAAAATGGACAAGCTGCCACCCCGCCTGCCAGTATTGTAACAAAGGGGGAAAATATCATTTTCTTAAAGTCCCGTTTTTTTTTTTTTTTTTTTTTTTTTTTTTTTTTTTTTTTTGCACCCATCGATTTCTTTTATCATATAGTTTATAAATAATAGGTGTTCCTTTGTTGACGAATAATTACAAATAAGAAAAGGTCCACCAGGTAAAATTAACCATAC